AGTTGAGAATTACACTACTAACAATGGTAAGAGTATTAATGATAGATCCTAAAAAGTTTCTCTTGATCTTGCAACTGTTGACACTAATCTAGCTTTCATTTTTTCAAGCAGATTTTTTTCACATGGATGTTGGAACTTCTTCAGCGGAACATTTGTACCGTTCATAAAAAGTAAAATAAAATAGGATTCAGGAGGGAAGTTTTCATCTAAACCCATAAAAAGGAAGTGACTCTGATGGAACATTTAAATACCACTCTAGCCTTTTCAATTTGCTTTCTCCATTTGTATTTGGTCCATGACATAAGCATTGTGTGTTATTGTTAGAAAGTCATTCACATGGAGAGGAAGGCATAACAAAGAATGACAAATTTCAACCGAACAAATTAACGCATTTTCAAATTACTGTCATATAAGCCCATTTGGCCTCAATATATATATATATATATGGTGAAAACGTTAATTGTATTATAGCCATTGGATGCCTTAAAATTAGGGTGAAGAAGCACAATCCATATGCTTGCCTCTGTAGCACGCATGTATTAACTGATTTTTGGAGACTTGGATTGTTAGTTTTTTTTTTTTTTGCTTTTTTTGGCCTAATTTTGAATTGCAATTGTAGCCAATTTCTTTGGAAAATAGCCACCATTGATTATTGTCATAGCCCTCAATTAATTGCCTATTTTTCCACTCTACATAAATTATTGTTATAGCCCTCAATTAATTAAACATAAGTCATTGACATCAATATTAGACATGTGACAATTGACACTCATTCAAGAAATAATTTGGAGAAATAAGAATGATAGTTAAATCTCTTTTCTATAAATATGGTTCTCCTAACACTATAATAATTGATTCCTACATATTAATAAGGTAAAATAAAGATAAATGTGGATAAAATATAAATAGTACAACTCACAGAACATATTGTACAATTAAATACTACCGTGTTAGTCCTTTTTGTTGTTGGCTTATATATAAGGTAATATATCCCTAAAATTTGGGACAAATTCTCTTATGTTTAGTAATGTAGAGTTTTATTAAGTTATGGAGATCTAAATTTACCTTTTTATATGGTATAAATATATTATATCCATCTAAAGAAAAATATAATTTTATTATGTTGTAAAAATTAAAAAGTAACAAACAACCCAATTTTTAGCTCATTTCAGCTATATATTCTACTTTTGAAATGGATCAATAATTTGTTTCTTTATTATCGCAATTCATTTTAATCGATCTGAATTCAACTATATATCACAATCACATTCTTGCTCAACCACAACTTAGGCACATATAAAATATGTGAAATTTTGGATGCTTCACAAAGTATCTAATCCCAACAATTATCCCTCTAGAAAATATTTTTCTAAACTATCAACATCAATATGTCATTAACCACATTGAGTAAAAAATATATTTATGGACAAATTAAGGCATCCACTGACTCATCAGATCATAATGATACCAAATGGCATGATGTGCTAACGTTGGTTAATATATATATAAATAAATAATATAAACGCCTTTGGTATTAAAAGCAACACTACTTGTTGGTTTTACACCTATATATCAATCAATAAATTAAACAAATAAACGACATGTTCCGTCTCAATTAACGTTATTTGATAGCGTTAATTGCTATGCAGCAGCAGAGCTTTCGGAGATAAAGAGAGGGTGAGTAACAGGGGCGGCTCTGCCTTATAAAAATTAAGGCATATGCCTTAGGCCCCCAATTTTGGAAGGCCTTAAATTTTTTACCAAGAATAAATTGTGTGTTATTTTTTTATTAAAAAAATAATTATTTATAATAAAAAGTATATAGTATATATTTTTTATTACATTTCTTTGCTAACATTCACATTATTTATTTTTTAAAACTCATTTTTGCTTAAAGTTTATCAACTTATTACTTATAGAATTGTGTTAACAATTCATATAATGATTGCTTCAATAAAATAATATTTTTCAACATTAAATTGATAAAATATTACCTAAAACTAATAATTATAAATAAAAATAAGTACTCAAAAAAATCATCTATAAAAAAAATTAAGTAATAATTTGCATCTAAATAATTAAAAAAATAAATTTAAAAATAAATATGTATGAAATTTGTTAGGCGTCAATTGAAATTTCGCTTTAGGCCCCCAATTACGTTGAGCCGCCCCTGGGTGAGTTAATGACGTCCTAGTTTGACTCATCTCTATCTGTATATAGTTTTGACTCATCTTATGTATTTAAGACAAGTTTGTACTCTTTTTAGTATAGCTTTGTACCTTCGTTAATCGTCCACCAAGTTGTTGTTATACATATTTATGTCATTTTCTTCTTTCTGTTGTGTATTCCTTTATTTTGCTATTATTCTGTTATGCTCAATATACCTATTACTTGTTGTTCTGGAATATGGATTGACTTACCTACTAATGAATTTTTTGGATAAATGTTATCAAGACTCGAGTTTTTGAATCGTGACAATAATATACTTGAGTTTTAGATTTTGTGATCCCTAGTGGCATATGGTTCACATCTTTATCGGATTCTTATCCAGAGGACATGTTCAATAAATTGTAAAGATATGATATCGGAGCCTAATTCAACCCCGAATTAAAAGCTAGCTCATGAGGGGCGGATTGTCCAAGTCCATATAAGCAAACTATCCGTCAATTCCCCAATCAATGTGAGACTTCTACTCAGGGGCGGCTCAACGTAATTGGGGGCCTAAAGCGAAATTTCATTTTGAGGCCTATAGTATAAACAAACTTCGTATACGTATTTATTCAAAATTTATTTTTCTTACACTATTTAGATAAAAATTATTAGTATTTAATATTGTTTTTCAGTTATTAGTTTTAGGTAAGATTTTATGAGCTCAACATTGAAAAACATCCTTTTATTGAGGCAATTATCATATGAATTATTAACATAATTCTATAAGTAATAAGTTGACAAATATTAAATAAAGATAAGAGTAGAATCATAGAATCTCAAGAAGTTGATGACTTGTTATACTCCATGTTAATATGCTTGTTGTAAAGTTTGAAACTAAAATTTAAAAACAAATAAAAAAAGAATTTGTAATTCACTTTATTCAACACTTTTCACTATTAATTTTTATTTTTAACAAAATACAAAAGATGCTAAAGTGGGTGAAATAATATATATTTTAAAATATTATACTTTTTATCATAAATAATCAATTTTTTAAATAAAAATTTAACATAATTTATTCTTGATAAAAATTTGAGGCCCCCCAAAATTTGGGGGCCTAAGGCATAAGCCTTATTTTACAAAGCATAGATCCGCCTTTGCTAGTTTTACTACTCTAACAAAAATCTATAAAGTCGATTCCAATTTGCTTGAAATTGAGGCGCAATACACCGTTGTAATTGTTGTTTCCATCTAATTAATTAACTCATAACAACACGAAAGTTTATTGATTAATTGCTTCCTGTTTTAAAATTGAGATAGCAAAGATTTAGAGGATTTTGAAATATGGAATATAATTTAATTTGAAGTGAACTCTAGTCTTCCTTCTTATTCTGTCCAATCAAAAAGTTACTATTTGTGGAAGGAATAAAATCTTATTATTTAATTTGTTGTATTATTATTGCTTACACGATATATATTCTCAGCTAACATGATTATATAACTCATTCAGCTCTAGTCATGGTGTATTCATAATTCATGTGTCACAACTCACAATGATGCATTCTTGCTTAGCAGCAATTTACCAAATACAAAGATGTACAATTTTTTTTATGAAAACAATAGAAATTAGCAATGGATAGAATTAGTCATAGATAACTTCTATCGCTAAATAATAAAAGTTTATCATTCTTTTTTTTAAAGCGGTGCTAAGTTATTAATTTTATGGTTTCAAATTTTAGAACGATGATTAAAATGTTAAATTACCAAGTTTTTTGAAGCGGTGCTAAGATATTAAAATGATTAAAAAAAGTCTCACGGGGGGGGGGGGTTAATAAGAATTAAGAAGTGTAGTCTCCTAGCTATCGGAGTGTGAGTTATGCTCAAGACTTAATTTTACATGCTATTAGAGCATGACCCATCTCACCTGATGTTGGGCCTAAATTAAACTATCCACATTACAGATGCCTAGTTCTGAGCGTGAAGTTGGGTGCTGAAGAATGAAAAAGTCTCACATTGATGGTTAATGAAATGCGTGATCTTCTTATAAGGATCGAGCAATCCTCCCTTTAAGCTAGCTTTTGAGGTGCATGAGTTAGGTCAAAAATATAATTTTACAATTTCTTAGCTTTTGAGGTGCCTGAGTAGTTAATTAATGCTTGTTTTGATGCGTAACGAAACATCACTATAATACCAATGATGTTTAGAGATAGGGACCTCACAAATAAAATGTTTATTTAGGCTAGATCAACATTAAATCCATTAATTAACCATCCTTATTTGAGTATTAATGACAAACTTAAAGACACCCACTGACTAGGCAGATAACGACATCAAATGATACAATATGCTTGCAATAATGTTGGTTAATTAAGAAAATTAAAATATTGTACACATCAACTTTAGCATTGAAAGCAACACAACTTGTTGGTTTCATACCCTATCAATCAATTCAAATAAAATAAACATACTCAATAAAAAAGTTCTCCAAGTATGTAAAGGCTATTTTTAATATTGTGATCTCCCATCACATGTGTTTGTGAATATTCAATGAAATTTTACGATAAATATAGTATTTGATTAATTGAGTTCGGTTGAACCCATAAGTTAAGCAGCACTCAAGCTCCAAAAGGCTTGAGGAATATATTTAAACTATTTTTCAAATTAAAAATTTGTTGAGCTTATCTCGAATCAATACGAAAGTTAAAGTTCTCGAAAAAACCACCTTCACGTGGCTTTTCTTTTGTTAATTTATTCATGATTTATATATATACATAACAAGTACATTCACATACATTAAAGATAATTATTTTAAGAATATGTACACTTGTACATAGATTAGAAGATTCTTGTTATTTTGGTTTTTTCTTGACATAGATTAAGCACCCACTGCTGTGGTTGCAACAAAGTCCATTTCACTTCTTGTACGTGTTATTTTTTGATCTTTTTCTTCTTCCTTGAACCATATTGCTGGTACTACTTGAACCAAATCAGTCACTATCTCTAATGCATAGTCAGCTTCTTTCGTCTTGGTCGATCTTCCAACCTTCAATATATGGAAATAAACACACAAATCAGAGTTTATTGTACGTAGTCTTATCCTATACTTCTGTAAGAAGATATTTAAATCTTTCACCTCTTCATATGAGATAGATATTTAATTGATGTAGATAAGAGAAACAGGTAGAACTTTGTGATAAGCACTAGCTAAAATATCCATCATATGTCAAAGGACCATTACACTTGTAGAACTTTTTTCATTTTCAATAACCCACGTTTTGAATTGGACAAGTCGAAGTTGTACATACAAAGGGGAAAAAACACTTTGGTCCAAAATAAAGTCATTTTCTTGGTACTATTAACTTTTTTCTTAGTTTCCCATCCGGTGTCCGGAGCTCACATTGGAACCCCGATTAAATTCGGATCGCGCACTACAGAGTCCATTCGGGAGTGGTGCTCTCAACATGATTTTCTCCATACCCAGAGCTCAAACCCGAGATCTTTGATTAAGGGTGAAACACTCCCACCAGTGATCCATAACACATGTTGGTTGTAACCTAACTTTGATTACTGAATAGCAGGACAATAAGGTCACATAGTACAATTTAAGATAACCGCAAGCTGAAATATCTTCTTGTACCTTATTTTTATATAAAATAGATGATAAACTCGTAAAAGTGAAGATTTAACGTGCGCCACTAAATATTACCCATATCTTTTTAGGGGTAGGAATAAAGTTTTAATGAGTCTGTTTTTCCGTCTACATTAGCCTCTCAATCTAATTATTCACGTGATCATCTCATCTCAAAAACAAATTGTAAACACACAAATATACAAATAAGAACTTACCAAAACTGTTTGAAGCCCCACAGCTTTTCCAGCAGCTATGTTCTTAACATTATCATCAAGGAAGAGCTAAACTCACACAAAATCAAAAAAAAGAAAATCAAACTCTGAATCATATAATTAGAAAAAAAAATTAAGAGGTAATTAATTAGATTGAAATTTGAAAAGCAGAGTATTGAGCATACCGTGCGATAAGGATCGATCTGAGCAGCTTCAATGGCGATATTCATTGCCTCCATTGAAGGCTTCAATATCACCGGAATCTCTTCCGGCCTTGTTGCCTTAGAGAGGTTAAAATTCATCGTCTCGAAACAAATGATCTGTTCAAAACAATCCGTAATTCCAAGACGATCCAAAGCCTTCATCGCATGAATTCGATCCGAATTCGTGAAAATCTGCACATTTACTTACAAAATCAATCCACAATATCCAAATTAACATATCATTAACGATCATCAACAGATCACAATACATTCAACTATATATAAAAACAACTTACAATTTTCCTTTGATTAATACGACGCAAAATGCTTCGTAATTGGGGATCCGGTTTAATCAAATCATACGGTAATCTTCCGTGCACATAGCTGTTGAAGATTGGGGAAATTGAAATAGAAACATTTTCAGAACAATAATCGCAATTTTATTTTTTTTATGAATTAGAGAATCAAACTATGAAAATAAAATAAAAAACTCAAAATATCTCACCTGTGATAATCATCGGCATCAACATCATAGCCTATAGCCTGCATTATAAAGCAAAGGAATTAAACAACACAATTAACTAATCGAAATTTGATTAATGACAAAGTATTGAAGTACTAATTAAGAATTAAGGCTAAAAATAGGATAATTACTCGTAATCCGGCAAGAGAACTGCCATAAGTTTTGAAAAGCTCAACACGCAAAGCCGATGCTTTCGACACCGGAAAACCGCATTTCTCCACCAGAAAATCTGTTTTTTCAGCCAAATATAACAGTTTCAGGTAACCGATCATAGCTCATGATATTGAATTACGTTTAATTTTAACAGAATTCGAACCGTCAATGTTCTTCTTCAAGGATTGTCCAATTCCAGTCTTAGACGAATACAGAGTATCATCCAAATCTAAACACAAATTATTTCAAAATATTATTCAACACAATTTCTCAACAAGTCAACGAAATGCAAATTAAGACTAATAACTATAATTAACACAATTCCACAAGCGATCGAACAAATATCATAAAAACTTCGATAGTCAAATGAGTTTTTCTTATGTATTTTAACAACAATAACAATAACGTGTTCAATCTAATCTCATACGTAAAGTCTCCAAACCTTACTCCTACCTCATGAAACACGGAAAATAACTAATTGAAGAAAGAAACTTACCGAAAATAATAGAGTCAAAAGGGGAGGAAGAATCCATAGTAGAGAAAAACAAATTGAGCAAATTATAAATGCAAATATTTTTTTGTGAAATGATGAGTAGACACAAGAGAGGGCTTTGAAATGGGAGGGGAAAGCGGGTATTTATACGAGTTTGTAGAAGAAGATAAGGACAAGATTGGGAATATAAAAATATTTTTGATGACTCATCAGATGATAACGAGTGTAATTTGACAACTGATGTAAGAGGGACCCACACGTTATCCAATTAAAAACGATTATTATATTGTAAGGACAATAATGCCCATGTTTCCGTGATTGACACGTTGCTTATGATTATTTTAATACTCGTTTAAATGAGAGTCCGACTAATTCAAATTTTTTGAGTCTCTTTAAATTCATTCGAAGGAAGCGATTTTTTATGAAGATATTTTTCAAGATTTAAAATTGAGATCTTTAATTAAAGGAGGAATGATTATATTCATGCACCTTGGTGGTAGGTTTTAATCCATTAAAAAATATTTGTAAAATTTAAAAATAATAAATTTAAGAGAAATATTTAAGGTGAATCAAATGTTATTGAATATTTCAAACTACAAATTTCAGATCATATAGATTAAAAAATGAAAAAAAAATGAAAAATAAAAAGTAGATCAATTATTGAATGTCATGTCAAGTGTATGTTCCTTCATAAAAGGCGAAACACTTATACAACCCCTCTAACTTGTCCATATTTTTCATTTTGACACTTTATCTTAGCCTTGTTCTATTTTAACTTTTGAACTCCATTTTTTATGTTCCATTTTAACACGAAATACTATTTTTATGATTTATTTATTTTTATATATATTCTTCAATTGCAACTTCTTATTTTAAATCGACATGTGTTATTTACTTTTAGTTAAAAAATTAAAAATTAACAAAAAATTATTCTTTTTAAAAAATAATAATTTCTTTTTAAGAGTGTTATGTATTTTTGTGTGAAAAATAACCGACAAAATTGTGTTGGTTTTCTTTCTTTAAAATCACTGACAACCTAACAAAGTCAGTCGAGTTTTAACATTGTTTAGTAGTGTTATTAGCAATGAACAAGAGTCTTTTTTTATTAGTGTTATTAACTAAGTCAGTCGAGTCTTTTTGAAGATGGATTTTTTTTATTCGTATTGATTTATATTAAAAATTAAAAGTGAGTATTTGCGTTAAATTTAGATTGCCTAGATGATAAGAAAAAATAAATAAGTAGTGTTATTTAATTTGATTGAATGTTTAAGAAAGAAAATCAAAGAACTTTCATCAATTTATTTTCATGCAAAAATACAGAGAAATATCAAAAAATAATATTATTGTTTGAAAATTTTTATGTTCGTTCGCGAATGTTTAATTTTTTTAACTAACAGGCACACGTCTATTTTTTTAAAATAAGAAATTGCAATTGAAGAAGATAAATAAAAACAAATCATAAAAATTAGTATAAGTGTTTAAATGGTACAGAAAAAATGGAGTTTAAGGGTTAAAATGGAACAAGGCTAAGTTGGAGTGCCAAAATGAAAAATGATGGCAAGTTTGAGGGGCTATATATGTGTTTGGCCTTCATAAAATGAGGGCCAAAGGGGAATGAAAAAACAATAAGAAAGAGATTTTGGTGTGGAGGAAACTATAAAATATTTTTGTGAATAATATTTTCTGATTTTGTTAACTTAAACGTGTAAAAAGCATTTCACTAAAGAAAAAGTTTTCCTATTAAACAAGAAAAAAGTGTTTTTTTCCACGTACAGGCATAAGTCCATTGTTTTTACAATTATTGTAATTAGTTGATAAATATATTACCGATCTATAGTACTAATAACACTACTAAAATGTCAGTTGTTTCTCATTAAAAAATGTTAGAGGATTGTTTCTACAAATATTTTAATTTAGTGAGAAAAAAAATAGTAATATTTTTATATTAAAAAATTAGAAAGTTTTCCACTATTTTAGTGATAATCTATTTCCATAAGTTTTTACAACTAGTAAAATAATTCAGTGAAAAATAAGGGGGGGAATCAATTTTTATAATACAATTTTTTCATTCATACCGTGGAAAGACCCTTTAATTTGTTTCTAGTAGTGTCATATCTTCAAAACACTATTTTTATAATTGTATTATATATAGCCAATTCTTTTTATAACAATATAGTTGTAGTTGGTTCCAGAATTTTGTTATTTTTTATTTCACATTATAAAAACGTTGAAAGTATTTTATTGCGTTCTTAAGAGCATATTGCCTACGCGTTTTGAAGATTATATAGGAATAAGATGCTTTACTCTTTTAATATTTGGAATATTCTTTTTCTCCCATAATTAAAAGAACTAATATAATATTTACCTAAAGGCAAAAGCTAAGGTGAAAATAATAGAAATAAAAAAAAAATCCGCGGTTTCACACTAACAAAAACAATGAAAACACAAAGTAATTATGATACCTCTTGTCGTGTAGCTTTCCTTGAACTTTCAATACAGGTTTCAACATCCATGTGAAATGCGTGTCAATTTAAATTCATATTTAATTTTTCATTTCGTATTTGATATTTATATTAGAGTCTGATTAAATTTAAATTCACGCATTATAAAGCTTAGTCTTAAAAGTGATAATTTCAATAAGTTTTATTTTTAAAAAATTCTGATAAATTCCAATCAGAAGCCTCTTATTAAAAGAGGAAAAATCTATCATAATCATATAACTTTTGCTAGTCCATTTAATCTTTGAAACAATGGGTTGGAAATATTTTATGTTCTGATCTTGTTTATATCATCAAAATATTGTTGTTCATCAATTCCAATATTCAGTTTTCGCTCAATATCTGATATTTGTTTCCAAAATCTGATTAATTCACATTCATAAATAAGAAAAATCACTACTTTTTACCGTTCTAAAATATTATTATTTAAGGTAAAATAAAATTTCAATATCAATATTACTATGATAAATGGTAAGAATTTTATCTAAATTTGAATTCTATTGAGAGATCCATGAAAAAATCATAAATTATTGAAGAAACATCAAGATAAGTATGCATTTGACAAAGAAAAAATACATAATTATCTTGTTAAACTTGTACGGTTATACCCCTTTTTAAAGTAGACACCTAAAATTTGCGGGATCCCATTGAACGAATAGTATTAAAGCCCCAAACCAGTGGTTAAATACCATGTGACATTTTTAATTTGATTTTTTTAATTAATAAATTAGATCCATCTTCCCATCTTCCCCAAATCACCATTAATAGCCTTTTAAGAAGCTTTTTCAACAGGTCAAAAATTAAAAACCATCATTCTTTCACAATTTTTGTATTTTAAAATGCAATATTATTAGATTCTATCTTCTTCTGTTCAAAACTTAACTAAGTAGTTTTCTCGTTCCTAAAACTTAAAAGATCGAAAATGGTGATGCTAATGGATAAAGTAGACGATTTAGGATGAAGATGATGATTTAAATATTTGTTTGATAGAACTTCTAATTTTCATATTTGATTATTTGTCATGATGTAGTAGTGATTAAGTAGGGCAATGATGGAGTGTTGTCACTATGATTTGTGGTGGTGGAATTCAAAAAACAAATTTGAGAAATCAGAGGCAAAGTAGAAATTTAAAAGAGAAAAAAATCAAAAAAGAAAAGAAAAGGAAATAAAATAGAAAATTAAAACCAAAAATAAAAAGAATTAAAAGTTAAATAGTGAATGACAGGTGGTAGATTAGGATTGATGCGTGATTTGCACCTGCCTTATTACAACTGAGAATGACTGAGAAAAAAGAGTATATATGCTACTTTAAAATTATTTCGTGAGGTAATAGGACTCGCGCAAACTTTAAGTGTCTAATTCAAAAACTGATATAAGTTTGATGGGGTAATTATGTATTTTCTGTTTTACAAATAACTATATTAGTTCATCCTATTTCATCATGTTTTTGGAGCCAGTAAGTTTTGAATGACCTCCCTCTCTTTGTATAAATCAAACATCATTTCTTTGTCGCCATCTTTTCAACATCTCATATTTTTTTAAAAAAAGATTAATTATTTCAAAAAAAATCATATCATGCATTAAATTATTTTAATAATAACCAACTACTCCCCTCCCTTGTCTCTTTCCCCATAAAAAATCAGCCCCTACATATTTGTTTTATAAAATGCTAACCACAAAATATGATCTGATTGTTCCTATCGTACCACAAGGATGGTATGATTATTATGACTAATCTAAAAAATGTTTCATTATGCTTTAATATATCTATTGAAAATATTACTTAGATCGAATTTACTCATAAGTCATAAGGGATGCTAATAGCTTGTTAATCTATTGATTTGTTCTCTTCCTTAACCTTAATCATCAATATATAAATACACTATTACTAGTGCAGGACAGTATAACAAAAATAACTTTTAGCGGCAAATATTGACATTAGTAAAGAGTGCTAAAGTTTTTATCGGCATTAGTTAAGTGCCATTAGAATCAATATCGCTAAAGGCTTTAGAGACATATACAAATAGTGCTAATTGCTGCTAAAAATACATATTTAGTAACAATTAAGAATTAATTGCCGCTAATAATCATTTTTGATGTAGTGAAAAAAAAGAAGAAATTTTCCCACATTAGATGACAGTTAGAATTTCTAATAGAGAAAAAATGTTGGATGTTCTCTATCCCTTAAAGAATATCTAGGGACTAGATTGCAGAACAAAGAAAGTTCATCTATTATGTGAGAATTTTCGATGATTGATGATATAAATCGTGATTGCTATAAATATATACCCGCTAGAAAGAATCTGTAAATATCTGAACGTATTTCTACTATATCTTCCACGCCAAATTCAAATCACCATGAATGAGGTGGTTTAATTTAGGTGTGCATATATAATAAAGTTATACATTGATGCTGATGGATGAAAACACCATAAATTATTATTTAGTTGATACTTATTGAGAGGACTGATTTGGCGTCTTATTTATATTTATAAATAATATAAATTATATATATAAGGTGACGATAGAAGCAGAATTCACCACAACATGCATAATAATTGAGTATGGCACAGCACATGAAACACAAGCAAATGATTTCAAAGAGTATGTTTCCTTTTGCAATTTTTTTTAATGTACCTCTGATTCTTTGTTTCAATTTGTGTATCATATTTTAATTTGACATGAAAGGTAAGAGAGTAAAAAAATATTTTAGATTTTATGGTCCTAAATTAAATATATGTCAAATATATCAAAATATTCATTAATTTTGTGATATTAAACACAACGTGCTGAAAGTTTATTTGTAGTTAAAAATTTACAAAAAATAATAATTTTTGAAGGACTTCCCCAAATATCACTGAATGTTGACATATACCACTATACCTAAGTTAGTGAGCTTATGTATTATTGTAACAAGAAATGACTCATTACCTTATATATTAAGCCACCAACAAAAAGGATTAGCACTGTACAATATATTATGTGAGTTGTACTATTTATATTTTATTTAAATTTATCTTTATTTTATCTTATCAATATTTATCAATTCTTATAGTGTAATTAGGAGAACCATGTTTATAAAAAATGAATTTAACTATCATCTTTATTCCCCAAATTATTTCTTGAATGAGTGTCAACTATCACATGTCTAATATTGAATGATTTAGGTTTAATTAATTGAGGGCTATAACAATAATTCATGTAGTGGGAAAATAGGCAATTAATTGAGGGCTATACCAATAATCAATGGTGGCTATTTTCCAAAGAAATTGACTACAATTGCAATTCAAAATTAGGCAAAGAAAAAAAGAGCAGACAAACTAACAATTCAAGTCTACCAAAATCAGCTAATCTGCGCGTGCTACAGAGGCAAGCATATGAATTATGCCTCTTTACCCTAAATTTAAGTCATCCGAACCCATTCAATGGCTATATATATATATATATATATATGACTCTTTTGAGGCAAAATGGGCTTATATGGCGTAATTGAAAAATGTGTTAATTTGTTCAATTGAAATTTGTCATGATCCATGATTCTTTGTTATGTCTTCCTCTCTAAATGGATGACTTTCTAACAATAACACACAATGCTTATGTCAGCGACCAAATACAAATGGAGAAAGCAAATTGAAAAAGGTAGAGTGGTATTTAACTGTTCCATCAGAGTCACTTCCTTTTTATGGGCTTAGACGAAAACTTTACTCCTGAATCCCATTTTATTTTACTTTTTCTGAACGGTACAAATATACCGCTAAGCACCAACATCCATGTGGAAAAAAACCTGCTTGAAAAAATGAAAGCTAGATTACTATTCACTCTTGCAAGATCAAGAGAAACTTTTTAGGATCTATCATTAATATTCTTAGCATTGTTAGTAGTGTAATTCTCAACTAAAAATTGTGTTAAATTACAATTTCCGTCTGATGGCAGAGATTATTATTTTTTGGTTAATTCTCAAAATTACAATTGTTGATGATTCTTTCCCATATAGTGATTTTTTTATGAAATCAATGTGTTATATCAATAGTTATTTTGGTTGTCAGACGAACTTAACTATGCACCAACTATATCTTTTTGATGGTACTAATGCTTATTAACTTGATGCTAATACATCTGTAATAACAAAAAATCAAAGGTAAAATATATCTTTTAATCCATTTTTTTTAAAATTATAAATGTTACATATTTGAACACATTACAAATTAAATTGTTGGGCTTAGACCCCGTGTATCGCACATGCATCACTTTCTAGTACATCACTAAATTGTTTGGAGATATTTTTTGTATATATATTTGCTTTGAGTGGCCACAAGCATAGCTACCCAAAATATTGGAAGCTTTATCAATCACCACTAAATTATTGGATTTTTGCATGTCCAATATGACTTCCTTTTAACATTTTCTGGCCCAATCTTATTTGGTTTTGAAGAAGATTAATGGCACAGGGTCTAACACTTTTTGGTAGTACATCACTAAATTGTTTGGAGATATTTTTTGTATATATATTTGCTTTGAGTGGCCACAAGCATAGCTACCCAAAATATTGGAAGCTTTATCAATCACCACTAAATTATTGGATTTTTGCATGTCCAATATGACTTCCTTTTAACATTTTCTGGCCCAATCTTATTTGGTTTTGAAGAAGATTAATGGCACAGGGTTTAACACTTTTTGGTAGTACAATTCAAGTAGAAGTAATAGGAAAATGAAAAAAACAAGGCATAAATTAAGTAGATGCATAAATCAATATGCTAATTTTATGTGAAATAAGGACATTCTAATTGACCCGATTGACTCTCATTCTGATTTGGCGAAATGGTGAAAAGTACATTATTTGTCGTCCTGCAACTAATTTGAAAAAAATGGGCGTTCAAGGAAATGAAATTTCTTCTCTTGAAATGTTAATAAACAAACTTTATAATGTGACAAAAACTTGGGAGCATTATCAAAAGATTGTAAGATTAGTAAGTAGAGACTCAAAATTAAAAGATAGTATTCCATATTAAACCATATAGTAATTAAAAAACAACAAGAAAGATCCATAATTAAGCCATAACCCCTCTTTCCTTTAGAGTAACATAGGCCATAGCACCCCTACCACTTCCAACAAAAAAAAAATAATAATATAAGAAACATAAGTTCTTAAGATAACTTCGAGTTAAAACCATAAGGAAAAACCAAAACAAAAGAAAAATAAAATAGAAAAGTTTCCAATTTTTTTTTCTTTTTTGTTAATGTGCTACAATAATCATGTAGCTCCCCTTTCAATTTTTGTTCCATTATGTCATGCTTGATTGTGTCTTCCATGTCCATAAATGAATCTTGCATTTCCTTCTGAGTAAACATGAGTCTCATTGTTCAATCTGTCATTGTTCAAATATTCATATAAGCAAAAAAGTCGCGAAAAAAGAATTATAAAATACGTAATTTAAGTTATATACACTACATGAAGAGTTACCTGTTAAACTGTTGTCATAAGTTAAGTTAAATTATGAGTGTATAACACAATTAAAGTACTAAACCAATAGTTAATAAAATTGAAATGTTGCTCACGAATTTCTAACAGCTTTGCTTAATGTAGAGGCTGAAGTGAATGTTTTGCCATCAAGATATCTATTTTCTCCATTGATCCTCTGCTTGATTCTTTGGTCCAATTCATCCACACTTACAACAAATGGAGTATCGGATGCCTATATCAAATCATCGATAATTTAATTAAAAACTATATTGTATAGCCGTCCACCAAAATTAAATAGCAGTCAGTAAATGTATACTTTTTTGGTATATTATTGTATGATATACATAAAATATACATGTTTTATACAAAATAGTGTATATTCTTTTTGTATATTGTTGTATAATATACATAGAAATTACATGTTTTATACAAAATAGTGTATATTAATTTTATATATTATTGTATGATATAAATAGAATATACATGTTTTATACAAAATAGTGTATATTCTTTTTATACATTTGGCTAGCGAATGTAATTATTTGACCGACCAAGCAGATATATAACTTGTTCTAATTTTGTAAAGTAATAATACCATGACCCATCCCCAAGTGTCAGCATAAGATGGAATATGAGCTGAATAAGGCACAACATCTGTAATAAAAAAGAATTAATAAATGTTAATTAATATCATTTGAGATATATCAAGTTTCAAGAATTATTATAACATAATGTAATAAATTAGCATGAAAATAATTTTTTTCCCTTACATTTGAAAACTTGTTTCAGAGTATTGAAAATGCAGGAAAAAACTTCTGTGTGGCTGAAAATTCCTGCTGGTCCTGCCTGTTAAGTTATAATTCTCAATATTTCAACATTAGTTAGTACTTACAAATTACTAATCCAATGTTTAATTTCCCCACATATATTATACTGACTTAATTTAAACGATACTAATAAATTTTACGGATGAAATTTAAGGGATAAATATAATGTACCTGAGTAACAAAGATGCCACCTTGATTAAGTCTAGGTTTAACAATAAATTCATAAAAGGATTTTGTATAAAGTTGGTAACATGGTCCTCCTTCTATAGGGTCAGCTAAATCCCCTACAATTATATCATAATGTTCCTCCCTCCTCTCCAGCTCAGCCCTACAAAATCACAACATTTTTTGTTAATCAAGATTTATTAATTATCACAAAAAATAAATTCAAGGGGTCAATTTAACAAGTTTATAAAGTTAGGGGATTAAACCTGGCATCATTAATAATAAGGTCAAGTCTAGGATCAGAAAATGCTTCTTTGTTAACCTCCAAGTATGACTTGCAAAATTCCACCACCTCCTGAAAAAACAATAATAATTGATACAAGTATTTATTTATTAATTAAAAATTTTCATTAATTAACGATGTAAAATATATTTACACAATCGAAGAATCGAAAAAAGGGGGAAATAAAGAGACTTACTTCATCAATGTCACACATTACAACTTTATCGACTGTTTTGTGCCTTAATAATTCTCTGGCTGTAGAACCTTCACCTCCTCCCATAATGAATATGCTTCTAGGACTGATAATTAAAGTGTATATTAAATATAAATTAATTTTGTAAACAATCAAAAGCTTAAGAACTTTATGTTAAAATACATAGTCATAATGAGGATTTCGAAAGAAAAAAGGTTGGATCACAAAAGCTTATTGCAAACAGTTTTATCCTGTATTTCTGCAAGAGACTGTTTTCACAGTTCAAATTTGTGATCTATAACTTTACTCGCCAAAATTCTCCTTCGGGTTATTTGGACAATTAAAATGAAATAATTAGTGGGGATCGGACAAAGAATAATTACTTGGAATGATAAAGGAGAGGTGGATGGACAAGACATTCATGATAGATGAATTCATCTATCTCTGCACTTTGAAGCTTTCCGTCGATCACTAAAGCCTGTTGCATTAGCCAAAAATTTAATGACAAATTTTCAAATTAAAAAATAAATAAAATTTATATGATAGTTTTTTTTTAATCACATTTTTATGTTATCGATGATTTTGTTGCAATCTTTTTTGGTAAAAAAAAAAAATACAATAGAATATACACTCTTAAATAAATATGTCGGAATGATTTTTCCAAATACTATTTACCTTTCCAAAGGGCTTTGTGTCCAAGAGTTGAATATCTTGATATTGAGTAGCACCAGTGTGCAAAATGCTGCGCCAAAACGAAAATATTTTAAATAAAAAAAAGAATATATTTATTTCGGATTCTAGTAATTTAAATATTTATTTTTTAGAATCTAGCATTTCATCTTTTCTCGTGATATATTTAAGATTATAGATTTATTAAAAATATGTAATTTTTATATTGAAGTCAAACTATTATAAAATAACAAACCTACTAAAAGGTGCATCTTTTTCCTACTAATTACCCTAAAAAGAGCTTTTCGAAAAAGAAAAAATAGGAAATATAATTTGCATATATATCCACCAAACACAAGAATAAATAAAAGTCCCCCACCCTCCCACCCCACCCCAACCCCAAATTTAAAAGATATGATCTTTTTAAATTGGTTTATAAAATAATTAGTAAGATCATATAAATCAGAACGAACGAAATAACTTGAAAAAAAAGATAGTAATCAACTTATTACAACTATCTAGTTAAGTCGCACCAACATTATAACACATTAAACTTAAATCCAATTAGTATTATTATACCTATTGAGAGCAAAACACCATCTCAAGTCATTGTCAATTTCTTCTTCATACCAACAACTCTTTCTTGGACCTCCCACTACATGTCCATTTTCATTATTCAACACATTAGATAATGCTGCTGATATTTCACCCATTTTTCTTTTTTCTCAAACACACTAATTGGACAAAGGATAGAAGAGATAATAAAGAGTGAAACTTCAAAGCTAAGTGACAAATAAGTTTAAGGATGAAAAAAAATGGAATGTTAAGTGGAGAATATAAAGAGGAAAAAAGAGTGTCATTGTAATCATTTAAGTTCATGAGTTGGGATAACTATTGAAGCAAGTTTACATAAAATCCTCATGGATTTTGGAGACACAAATTCCAAAAAAACATTATAGTAAATGGAATACAAAAATTAAATCAAAAGATCATTATAAGTGGGAATTCTAAGGTTGATTTCCTCGCGTGCGTTCTCTAAGTGTATGTTTATGTATATTTGGAATATAAAATAATGAATACTACTTTTTACCAATGTTATGGGGCTCTAGTTCTTCATTGGGCTTAATATATAAACTCCATCTATTTTTATTTGTCTAATTTAAAAAATTAAGAGATAATTTATTATTTTATTCATATTATTAAGTATTATTAATTTTTTAAACATTTAGATGATTTATACTTTCTTTGTTTCAATTTATGTGATGTTGTTTTACTTGACATGTAATTTAAGAAAGAAAAAAAAAAGACTTTTGAAACTTGTGGTTTAAATTAAGTTGTAAATGACAATCAATTTTCCTTTTAGCAACAATTGAGATAATGTCATTGCATGCATCCAGAATTGCTAAAGCCTTATACGATATTTATATAGAGTTTATAAATAATCATATTTATTATTATCATTTAATATAATAGAATGACAATTATATATTGCCGTTAAATAATTGCACAATTTTATTTATTAATTATAGTGTTAGACTGTTAGTATACTTACTCTCAACCCTATCAAATTAAACCCTTTATTTGATTGTTATTTTTTATTTATTTCTAGCTTGTTGTTTAGTACTTATTTTGAAGTCCAACTAATATTAATACACGTCATTAATTTTTATTTAACTTGGTACACTTTTTTACAATAGACGATTACATACTTAGAACTCAAATTATTTTTTTCTGACTAATATTGAAAAAGATACTTACCATCTCGTCATAGCATTGTAAATGGTTAGTACATACAAGTGCTTCTTGTCTACATAGTAATTATATCAATTTTTATTAGTTATACATATAGTTCATCATCTTAGCTTTTGCTTTAGCAACCTTTATCTTTTAACACATTTTATTTTCTCCAAAATTATGGTAATACCAAGTGAGAAGAATAGTGGAGTAATAATGATATGTTGGTGTAGTAATGCAACGATTCGATAAAACATGGTGGTCGAAAAATGATTATATAAGCTAGCTCACCATATATATAAGAGAGGTCTTTGAACAATTAATTTGTTTTTCCCCTGTTTTAATTTGTTTGACTTGATTTGAAGTAAGAAAGTTAAAATAATTAATGTTCTATGTAAATTTGAATATATTACTATCATATTTTTTTAAAAATAAAACTTATATATTTAAAAACTACATAAAAAATTACTATAAGTAATAGTTAACACTTCAAAAAAATTTAAAAAAATTATCGTAATTTTTTTTACAATTCAAATAGTAACCGTACTAGACATTGTGACAGTAAATTTTGTTTTTACTGTCATAAAAAATATTTAACAGCAATTGAATTAATATCATTACATCCATTGTTAGTAAAGTCTTTAGCGACATTTACATAATTATATAGAGTGTGTTATAAATACTTATATTTTTTATTGATGCTTAATATAAAATAATTACTGCAAAATTATTTATTTGTTAATATAAATTGTAATTAAGATAAATAAATTGAAAGGGAGAAACTACACCACATGCATGCCTTATGATATCACTTCAATTAGAAGAATACACAAATCAATAATACAACTTAGGGATAATTATTGCAATTAGCAAAACAATTGTAATCAACAATATATTTTATTTTTTTTGGGAAGAGAAGATATGATAATGCCAAAAGCACTAAGAAGCAACAAATGAAACAACTAGAAAAGGTCATCATACATAATTAGTGAAAAGGGATATTTCTTTGGGAAAAGAGAGATTTTTTTTTTTTTAAAAAAAGAAGATAAAAGAAGATGATTGAACACATAGGTATAGTGGAGACAAATACCCAAAATTAGGGTTTTTTTTAATCTAAAAAAATTGAAGTGAAATAAATAAATTACTTTAAGAAATTAAAACTTGTGCAATAAAATGTTGGCGTGCAATGAAAAACATCATTCATAGTTATTCATTTAGTTGCTCAAAAGATGATAAATGGCGTGCTAAGCCAGACGCACTCATCATCACTATCACCATAACCTAACTCATCTTCCAACAAACTATACAATAAAAATAATTCAAAACTTATATACATATGCATCGATAATGTAAGAAATATTTGCGTGTATAATCAGATCACTTATAAAATTATGCTATATATGTATATATCTGTCATGATCATAAGCACTTAATAAAAAATAAACTAATTAACTCGTTATCGTATATACGTGAAACTATATTATATTGGCAATATGCCAAGAAAAATTTATACTATCAATATATATAACGTTAACCTGGGGTGGGGGGAGAAGAAAGAGTATTTCAAATATACTACCTTCGTTCTACATTGGTTGTTCATTTCCCCCTTGATACATCTCTTTAGAAATCATAAATAAGAATGATAATTTTATTAATTTACTCTTTTTGAAAATTTACAAACTTATTCACACTTTTAAAAAATTAATTATAATAGTAAAATGGAAAAATATAACTAACTTCTATCATGATTTTGTAAATTGATAAAAATAACTATTTTTAATAACGTAAAGAACTAATATGAGACAGCGGGAGTACATCCATTTGGAAATGTCACTATATGTAGTTAACAAATATATGCATGCGGGAACGTTTTAGATACGCAATCATGCATTTGCATTTTCACTAATCATAATGGCACAACAGATAGATATTTTCCTGTCACCTAAAGATAGACTTTAGCTCTCGTTCGGTCATAAATTTTGAAGCTGAAATTTAAAAATTTTAAGTTTTTAAAGTTTTAATTTAGGAATTTTAAAGTTGTGTTTGGACATATATTTTACCTAGCAAAAAATTAAAGTTTACATATATTATGAGTAAGTGAAAGTGAAATTTCTTCCGGAAACAGACTCACATAAAAATATTTTGAAGATTAATTTTTAAGATTTGATTATATAAAAATCTATGATAAAACACTACCTAAAACTAACAACTCACGGAGGATAGAAGTTTGAAAATAATTTTGAATTCTGAACACTTCTCTACAAACTCAATATAAATTTTTATCCAAATATTTTATAGTTAATATTAATTAATTAAGGTGTTGGAAATACTTTAGTTAAAGATGTTTTGAGTATTCTAATTATTATGAAGGAAACATGTATTACATAGTAGTAATGTTTTTGTGAAACATCAAAGTTACTTATCTAACCTCTTTGTCACCATTTTTTGGAACTTAAGGGACCCTTTTAAATGATTCAAAACTTTGATGATGTCACTGTGGCGTCAGCATGACTGCTCCCCCACCTTACCCCTTCCTCTTTTCAATTTTTCTGTTGGGCCAAAAGGAATATTTTACCTGATTTTGTTCCATTTCAGTGTCATCGTCGAGGTTCGAAGGTATACTTTTCCTTGTCAATAAGCGTCTTCTGAAAAGGCAACGCTAAACAATTGATATTTCACTTTATCGTAAAAAAAATCAATTTTTTTTATACTGGTCATTCATTTCATGCTTATAATTACTAGTATTGGACTAAGTATGTATGTATTTGTATTTTTTTCCTCCCGTTGCGCCTTTTTTCGTTATAGCATTGTTATGAAGGCCAAACGCGTCAGGACTAGTATGGGCAAAGAAGCCTAACACTGAATTAAGAGACTGTGTTTGGGATCCGAGTTAATAAATACGACTTGTGAGAGAAAATTAGACTTATGCAAATTATTGAGTAAAAAGTCTGATTCCTCTCATCCCCTTTATTTTATGAGTCTAAACTTCTCATCGATCTCCCTTCTACGGTCTATCAATTCCATAGTTCTTACGTTCAGTATTTGTACATTTCTGTTTGGGTATTTGCTATTTGCATGGTTGCATTTACTTTCCGGATTTGTAATTGAATTCTAGTCTTATTAATATAGTTGAGAAGTTGGTTACTGTTACATAGAGTTGAGTTCATTACAAAAGCATATGGACCTTAGAGCTTTTTTGCGCATTACACTAACTGAGCAGAACAAGAAATACACAGCACCAGAGTAAATAAAGTTACAGCAAACATGACAAAGGGAGAAATTGAAGCACAGACTATGAACTTGCAAAAGTAACAACTCAAATTCTAAAACTTAGACTAATTTTACAAGAGCATAAGTACTGCAAGATGTTCCTTAAGGTTCTTCATTACTAAACAATCATTTAGTGATAAAACATTGGAGGAACTTCAACTTCTGTTATGCCTTCAAGCATTTGCATCACCATTTTCATTGAAGGTCTAACAATTGGATCAGGATGGACACACCACAATCCCACCTTCACGAATCGTTCAAATCTTTTAATATCATTCAATACTTCAGGATCACTCCTTGCAAGTTTGTCAATTCTACCACTTCTCACACAGCCTGAAACCCAATTTACAAGCAATAAATCATCACCTTCATCGTCTTCGCTCTCTTCTTCTACCCTGCTAAGCTCAATATGCCTTCTACCACATGTGATCTCTAGTAACATTACACCAAAACTAAAGATGTCAACTTTAGGCGTTATTGGTGCATTCTTTAGCCATTCTGGTGCTAAATATCCCACTGTCCCTCTTGCGCTAGTATCTGTTCTTGTTTGATCCTTTTGCAAGAGTTTTGATAGCCCAAAATCTGAAATCTTGGCATTGTATTTGCTGTCAAGAAGTACATTTTGAGGCTTTATGTCACAGTGGATGATTGGAGAATCACATCCTTCATGTAAGTAAAGAAGTCCTCTTGCAATTCCTAGTGCCATTTCTGTTCTTTGACTCCAAGTAGGCAGTACTTCTTCCTTGAACAAAAAATCTGATAA